AACAATCAAATGAAATAGATAATCAATAACAATAAATCAGAGCTATTGTAGCGGTAAATAAATCTCCAAAATCAATAACTCTGTTTGTAAGTCTTCGATATTGGATGCTGACCACATTCGTTTTAATGGACTCATCTACCTGAAAGCGTTCGGTCATGAATCTACACTAGATCATGTGTGGGAACGCCGTGCTCAACTTCTCCTGCAATCGCTAACCAGTTTAGATCAGTCGGTTCTCGATCAATTGATAGCGTACTCTTGCCGTTTCCCATGGCGATTCGATTTCGTCTCCTATATTTACAAAAGTTAAAAGTCTCCAAGCTTACAATAATACTTAGTATTTTTTTGAAAGGAATTTGTACCACCCCTAATTACTTCACAAGATAATTAATCATCTATGTTCCACTCAACTAGCATATGAGTTTTAATATCAGAATGGGTTTTGTGGAGATTTTTTAGAAATTTCACTGGTTGAAATCATGAGTCATTTGAAGCTAGACCACCATGGAAAGCCTGGAAGCACTGGACGGCCGTTTCGTTCTAGTATGGGATTCCTCAGCAGTACGCACCCACGATCCCTCAACCCGCGAGATTCGAACCCAGGACCAATCAGTCTCGCGCCAGGCCCTTAGCCATTAGACCACTGAGCCTGCATCCAACGGTGTTAATGTCTAGATTCAAATGACTCATGAGTTCAACCAGTGAAATTTCTAAAATCTTCACAAAACCTCTTCTGATAAAAATGGTTTTGTCGATAAAACTGCTGAAATAAATAATCCATTATTCGTAATCTACCATTAATAAAATTACTATAATGTCTTAAAACCCCCCTCTATCTCTCTCTATGATTATAATCATCATGTGCTCACTAGTGACGGTCTCCATGAGGTATTTCCTGGATGTTATAACTTGTGATTTGTGTGCCCTGGTAATGTATAATGTAATGATACCGCCAATTAGAGAGCAGTGAGTAATCGATCGAACCAATGACACGTAAAACACATACGAGTAGTCTAGAGTCCTTAACGGTTCTGTTTCCTGCCTAGCCCAGTCAATTAAGTCCAGAACACCAATCTCAGCCTCTGCGACATGAATCATGTATTTCAAGCATATTGGGTTTATATACAAACCAAACAGACCACATCACACCATAAAATAGGAAACAACATTTGTACAAGATTTAACCAAATGTGGCTGTGAATGTGGGAGGTGGTAATTGATAGACAGGCATAACTTAAGAATAGTAAATCGTATAATAATAGTTCATAGGTCAAAACAAGGCTCATAATACGAGGGACATGAATATGAATAGTTTGATTATTTAACAATTATTCAATGAAAATATACGTTTAGTATTGATCCATAAATGGATCTCAAACGTTACCATTCATTATGCTTATCGGGACATAACACTGGAGTTCTAGTGAGAAGCCGTGATTAGTGAGGTTTAACCGGATCTGTTGTAAGATGGTGGATGATGGCGGATTGGTTGAAGTTAGATATCAACACTGTTGGATGCCGGCTTAGTCCAAGCATGCAGGTTCGTGGATGCGGACTGCTGAGGAGTACCGTACTATGTCTAAACGGCCGTCTAGTGCTTTCAGGTTTTCTGTAGTGGTCTAGTTTCAATTAACTCATGAATTCAACTACTTTAAAAAGGTGACTGTTTTCTTCCAATAACAAAATACTCCTATTCTAGCTTTAATCTCAAATTAGAGGCAACTATATCCAAAAAAAGTGACTGGAAGTTCATTTTAAAAAAGTGTACGTTAATTGCTCATAATCACCATGACCATCTCACTTTATTAAAAAACAATATAACAATCCAAAGTATCTAATGTTGAAAAGATTTATTTATTTATTTGAACATATAAATATTAGTACAAAAGGGTACCGAATACATATGCGCCACACAAGTCACTTGATTTCTGTATGGGCTGTGATACTACCCGAGTGGCCAAACCGAACCGGGTGATTTTCTTTACGGGCCATATCCAGAGCCTTCTACCTAAAGGTCTGATCCACAATGCAGTGGAGCAACGTCAGTAGACGAGTCCCATGGTAGCGAATGACCAACGACTGGTTCATACACCTTTTGTTCCTTCAGGATCCTGGAGTTTATGTGCACCATTGGTTTGGAGTAAGGGTTTTCCAACTCCCCTAGGTGGATTTTCCATATCCACCAACCCTGTTAAAGCATTGGACATTCACTTTTCATCCTCCCAATTTTGTAAACAACAGTAATGTCGCGAGAAGGTAGCGAATAGGAGTTCACTGTTAGTGGTTGTATGCACGTGGTCGTATGAGAGCATTTGGAGAGAGAGGGGCTGACTATCCCCACTCTCAGACGTACCAAGGCATTTGGGGGCATACATAGTACAAGACTAAACTATAGGATTGTGATGACTGGTTTGAATGCTATATTTCAGGCGATCATTTCTATAAGTGCATCTTTTTTAATTGATCAGAAGTTAAATATTGGATTATAAAACAATAATCTAGATGAATTGCTTTGGTATATTTGTTATGTGGCTATCAATGATATGTAGGAGACGAGTGTCATCATCAACTGGATGTACATTAATACCTATGATGATATTCACACTGATTCTCGAATGTCATACGTTTCGTCCCAAACATACAATGCTTTGCCTACTGAACTGCTGAGTTCAGATAGCTAATAAATTATACAGTGAGTATGAAAAAATTAGAGCAAATGAGTGGTTTACCCTTGTTGATATTGAAAAGTCACTGAATAATTCTATTCTTGAATATTAACACTAAGAGAGTCATGATTCCTAACTACTTACTTCATACTAATTAAATATGTTGGTGACTATCTAGACTCAGTAGTTAATAAACATGTGGTGTATGCTACTTATGTTGACAGGTGAAATGCCTACCAGCAGAAGATTGAAATGAAGAGAACAAGAAAGAAATCGGAAACGAATAAAATTAACAACTGAATCAGAAGATATTATTATATTATAATAACAAACTATAGTGCAGACATTGTATGTGAAAAGTATATTTGAAATAATCTCAGCGATTGAAATTTAAAATAGTTCCGTTTCGTCCAGCTAACTTGTCTGAGCTTCCTCAGTTTGTTTAACTAGTGGATTTTTTTATTCAATCCAAAATAAAAACAAACAAACAAACTGTTGAGCCGGCTTTCCGAGAACTGCGACGGAGCCTCCAGAGGAGCCGAAGAGTCCTAGACAGTCAGTGCATGATGGAGCTTTCTAGAATGTCAACTATTAGTCAGTAGCATATTTTTTTAGCGGATTGGCTAAAATATGATGTTGATTTAACAAATGTGAACATCTATAAATACCCGTGTTTTTCTGTACAAAATAACGGAACCTTAGAGTAAAGTATTTTCTCGCATACTTTGCGTCTTCTCTCTTGTGTTCAGGGCGCTGCATATTTCTAGCTTGGGGGTCACAGAATAGCTTAGGAAACGAATAGCGTTCAATTCGCAAGACTTATCAATAGCGACGGGGACTTATCACAAACATACAAACAACCGAAACCAAGTTTTATAATTTTTATAGGTTAATATTAATTACACAATGGTTATGATTGCCCACCACCATTGATGAAAAATTAAAATAAAACGCCGTAACTTTAACGATATTCCTCTTCCAAAATGTCAAATTATTTGCTTTGTCTTTTCAGTATCAAACTTATTACAGATAGTTGTCAGTAATCATATAGAACTTTTTAAAAAAGAAAAGAGCCCCCTCAAAAGTTAAAAAAAGAAAACCCTTCCCCCCTCAGAAAATTTTTTTATCCATTTTTTGAACAATTTACAATTTTCTTCACAATATCTGTTTATTTTTCAATGTATTACAAATAGTTATATTAGTATTTACATAGATGTGCATATAGATGCATGTACATCGCTAAATCATTTATTTCAGTATAAAAAAAAAAATAAAAAAAAGTAAAAAGAAAGACCCCCCCCGAAAAATTAAAGAAAAGAAAACAAACTCCCCACCCCAAATTATTTATTCAGTTTCTGAGCAATCTATAATTCTCTTTACAATATCTGTTTGTTTTCTCAATATATTACAAATAGTTATATTAGTATTCATATAGGTCTTTATATAGATATATATACATCATTAAATCACTTAGTTCAGCGTAAAAAAACAAAAAAAATGTTAAAAAAAGATAAAAACGCCCCCTTCAAAACTTTTTTTTTAAAAAAAGAAAAGAAAACCCCTCCCCCCTCCGAAAAATGCTTCATTCCATTTCTGAGAAATCTACAATTCCATTTACAATATCTATTTGTTCTTCAATGTATCACAAATACTACTATTAGTATCCATATAGATCTGTATATAAATGTTTATACATCATTAAATCAGTTATTTCACTGTAAAAAAAAACAAAAAAAAGAAACCCCCCCTGTTTTGACTTTATGTCCGGCTTTTTATCACGTGATTTATCCACCAATCAAAATACGACTTTTACAATCGTAGCACTATGCCAAAGTCAATGACGTTCGACCGGTATGAGCAGTCTAACGTCTTATTGGTCCTATGTCCGACTAGCCCGTCCATTTGAGTCCAGAACACCAAATACAAGGTTCCAATATGCGAATCGAATCGAATCATTTATTTCAGACATATCAATCAAACAGATTGCAACGCACCATAAAATAGAAAATAATATTTGTACACAATAGAGCCAAAAAGTGGCTGTGAACATGGGAGGCAGTAGTCAATAAACTGAACAGAACTTAAGAACCGTAAATCGTAAAATAATAAATTATAGATCAAAATAAAGCTGGTAATGAGAGCAATATAAATATACATAATCTAATTATTGAGTAGTTATACCATAAGAATGTATAGATAATATTACTCAATTAACAGGTCTCAGCAGAAGTTACTCATGATTTAATCTTCGCTGGGATATAACACCCCTAAAAGTAGTTTCTCAACAAAAACAAAAAAGGAAGAAACGAACACCCCACCTCTCATCAAAGAAGATCATCTACTTTTTTTTTCATTTATTTTCTTACAATTTTCTTTCCATTTATTATAAGTTTGTAATATGATTGTTTGAAAATCATCAATCGGTATATAAGTTGATTCTAATTGTTTATTATCATTTATTGATAAACCATAATATGCATAATAATCAATATGACGTAATTTAGTTAATTTAATAAAATGTTGATTATTAATACAACAATAATTAGGGAATAATTCAATTACCATTGATGTATTTGATAATAATAAACTATAAGTTAAACCAGCACCATGCATACCAATTAATATATCTGTATTAATAATTAAATTTAATTGTTCATTTATAGTTAAATTAATAAAATCAATAATTAATGAATTTATAAAACCTAATTGTTTTAATTTATTTAATAATTGTAATTCATTATTGATTTTTCTACTAATATGTCCATTTATATTACGTGGATGTGCAATATAATCACGTCGACTAATAATAATAATTTGTGGTAATTTATAATTAGTTACTATGTGTTTATAACATAAATTATCATTGATATTTAAATGATAACTTTGAAGAAGAAATTGTCGAAATTCATCAATATACATATTAGATAAAAGTGGTTTATCAACATATAATGGACTTGAATAACCATATGGTATTATAACAAGTTTATGTATATGTAATAAATAATTCTTATTCATAGGTAATATAGGTAGTAAATTTGTATTATTATGATTAATATGATTTGTAATTTGTCTATAGGCACCAATTCTTGATATAGAATAATTAAATAATTGATACCATACTTCATCTAAATTACCTATAGGATGTCCATCAGTTATTAATAAATGTATATTATTAACGGATAAATTAAGTAATTTCATTGTTAGATAAGTATTATACCAATCTGTCATTGTATGATATAAATTAGCATATTCAACACGTGTAATTAAAAAGACAATTTTTTCCTAATAAAAAGAAAAGAGAGAAAACAAACAATGTTTTAATGGTGATAATTAAGAATTCATTAGTTTTATAGTTGAGTTCATGAGTTCAATTGAAATTAGATCATTATGAAAAAACAGGACGATCCATAGTTTCATGTGCCCAAGAACCACATCACCACCATCTTAGAAGCTTCCAGAGTACAAGGTTGGATGCCTGGTGTTTGCTCGAGACTACAGAGCAAATCATAGTCCTTGGATCGAAGCACGTGTGGTTGGAAGACTAGGCTAAGTTATGTACGAGGTAAAGGTGGAAAGAGACACGTGGACTAGACAACGAAATCAACTACGGAAGCGGATAGCCCCGGACCGCTCATCAAAAGGAGTAAATCTTCCTCTCGACATCTTGCTTGATACCTTCAACTTACCTGCAGCCCCACCACAAGAAGCTCAACAGCAAGCTGATCCCCGTCCCAGAAGGTGGCCTCTCCGTCAGTGGCGAACTACAGTCAAGATGCAAGTCGACCCAAGAAAAGTACGCTATTAAAAAGGGGAGGAGTGTTGGGGACGATATATCTCAAAAACTCATATTTGTAACTTTATCATATCGATTAAATGATTAAATAGCAGTCAATTGATGAACTCATTGATTAATGTTTTAGTGTTGATAATTAGGAATTCAGTAATTTCATAGTTCAGTTCATGAGTTCAGTTGAAGTGAGATCACTATGGAAAAACAGGAATCGTGAGTTCTGTGAGTCCCACAATGGGACGAAGTGGCTATTCAGTGTTTCCGGGTTTTCAGTGATGGTCTAACATTAGTTGATTCGTGATCTCAACCAAAAACTTAATGATCTCTATAATCCTACTGATAAATGCCATGTGCGCATTAGTGACCATAGCTTCGTGAGGGAATTCTCGAAGTTCTAGTAAGAAGCTGTGACCAATGAAGCTAATTCATATCAGATAGAGACAGGTATCTACCTTAATACAATGGAAGATGGTTCCGCAATTTCGTAGATTGGTTAAGGTTAGACATTAACACCGTTGGATGCCAACTCAGTGGTTTACAGGTTAAGTGTTCGCGCGAAAGACTGAAGGCCCTGTGTCCGGGTCCCGCGGTCGGGATAGTGGATACGCACTTCTGAGAAGTCCCGCAATAGGACGAAACGGCTTCCCAGTTCTTCCAGGTTTTCTGTTACGGTCTAGCTTAAATTCAACTCATGAACTCAACTATTAAATTAAAATAATATTCACAAAAAGCGTTTCTGATAATAATTAAGTACTAGTGAAGATCACTGGTTGGCGTTTTTTGGCGAGTTAGTTTTCTGCAAGATCAGATCGCTACCCCAAACCCAAGCCTCCTTCTTTATTTGGGCTTGGGACCGGCAGTAGCCTCAGAACGGCTCCAAGCAGCATATGCTCCATTGGGATTAACAGGCGTAAGTAACCATTTACATATTGATTGATATAGAGGATTTTGTGGACATTGTTGAATTTTTCTAGTTTTTATCATTAAACCGACTTTGGGTAGACAACCATGGTAAACTAGAAAGCACTAAACAGATGTTTCATGATAGTTTGATACTCGTCAGCAGTGTCTTCATGATCTCATTAGGGTTCGAATGCAGCACCTTCAGAACACTGAGTTGAAATCCAGTGGCACACACCTTTAAAGTGCTGGTCAAGGTGTGATGGTGAGAGGAAAAACAAGAGGTGTATCTGATAACAACAAGAGTCATCGTGTTAATGAAATGGTCGGAAAAGTTTTCGGCAATGTAATGAGTAATTTCCAAGTACGATAGGAGTGCTTCGAACAATATTAGAAAGTAGTGAGTTGATCTAGCAACTGTGACCAGACTGTTGGTGGCAGTGAGTGCTAATTAATCTCGGAAAAGGAGAGTTGAAAAGAAAAATCCTTAAAAAGAACCAAGTCATTTGACAAGGATGACTTAACCTAGCCAACCTAGAACATATAAATTGCTCATTATCTGACCACACTTTAAAAGGGCTTTCTTAATGCATGTGATAAGTATTATCAAAGTAAGTTTGTCAACGTGGTTGTCTGTCATTATACTAAACAAATTATGCAAACCAGTGAGGGGTCTCAGAGAAGCGTATAAATCTTGATCCACGTAGTAGATGAACTAATCACGTTTTGTATTGTTCGTTAACTGTTTAAACATGGTCACACGTATTTCAAGTTGAAAGTCGTTTCAGTTTTTTATAACAGATTATCCTCTAACTAGTTGAACAACAATGTGCTCTGAAACTAAATATTGAAAAAGAAAGCTCATCAACACACTGAAATCGTTTTTACAAAAATATGTCATTTAAAGTCGTCTCTATGTCCGTCGTGAATTCGGCTTGACTATAAATGTTTGAGCAACCAATAATACGTCACTGAGAACAGCTTTGTTCTATTCATGTGATTATTGCCTCCACTCTCTGCCCTAGACCATTGTCATCACTGAATGAATGCTTGTATGCGGTGGAAACACTTTGTAAGTAATGACAAATTCCCTGAGAGGTTCTTTAGACAAAATACAACTGATAAAATATTGTGAGTGTTTCCATCTTCAAACACAGGCTTCACTGACTTGGTCATATTTTATACATATGATTTTAGATTTCATTATACTGAGGAGTATTTATCGATGTTCTCATAAGATAAATAGGGTGCAGAAATATTTAGACTTATATATGAGGCTGTGAGACGAATGCTAGCTGTACATGAGACAACAATCTGTTGGTTCACCACAGTTCCCTGCGTAAGGTTTTAGAAACATCATTGTTTAACTCAAAATAGAATCCATTAGCTATTCACCTGTAGTATTCTGTTTAAAGACTTAATGAAAATTAAGATCCTTCTACTTACACTAGAAAAATCGATTTTGGTTTTACTTGAATTACCACGGTAGCCTTAAATACTTACCGTTCATACTTTTGTTATTGGCACACTCTTCTCCATTAGTCGCACATATACTTCATTTCATTTTGTATAATGAGTTGTAACATCCACTCAAGTGTGTATGTATATGTGTGTATGTTGTTCAAGTATATAACCATTTACATTCATATATTATTTATAAAGAAAAATAAATGAAACACCACTAGTCAGAACCAATAACCAGATTAGTTTGATTATAAGATTCCATTGTTTTAAGTATAGAATACTTGGATTAATTAGGTCAAATCATTATGAATACAATAACCTATATATAGAAATTATGCACATTCTCATTCTAAATCTATTTTTACAGATAAATGATGCTATTTACTAAGACAAAGTAGATTTAAATATGTTTGATATTCCTTTTCATTGATCAGTTAGACAATGACTAGTAGTGGAATACATGAAGTATGTTACGATCGAATTAAGATTGATCAACTGGATACATCTACTACAATCTATTGTTAATGTTTAAGCTGAGACTGAAATATAGTAAGATTCATTTTGAACGTCCAATGTATTATTGATTGAGCTATTGAGTTCATAATACTGCTAGTTTATAGAATGCCCCCAAATGCCCTGGTATGGCCGATAGTGGGGAAAGTCCGCTCTCCCTCTCCAAATGCTCTCACATGGCCACGCATATATAGCCTCTGCTAGGGAAGTCCTACTCACTGTCTTCTCGTGGTAGGGGTGTTGTTTACGAAAATGAGAAGACGAAAAACGAATGTCCGGCGCTTAAACTGGATTCCAAACCACTGGTGCACATGGGCTCCAGTATCCTGAAGGAGCAAATGGCGTATGAACCAATCGTTGGCCACCGGCTTCCATGGGACTACATCTCCTTACGTTGCTCCACTGCCTTGTGCATCCGACCTCAGGTCGATGGCTCGGGGAGTGGCCCCCTAAGAAAACCACCTGTTTCGGTTTGGGCACCCGGTTAGTATCACAGCCCTCACACATATCAAATGAGATTTGTGTGGCGCATATCTATTTGGTGCCTCATTGTACCAATATCTATGTGTTGAAATAAATAAAAAAAAGTTTGTAGAATATGTATGATTTTAGTCAGTAAGGGATTTTTTTAGTTGATTGCGTTCATCACATCTGTTAAACAGATTAGTGGCTATGTGGATTCAGTAGCTCAATTGATATTGCGTTTGATGAGAAAGGTAACGGGTCCGAGCACAAGTATGAGTACCAACACTAGGATATGTCAGATACATTCAATTGATAGATCCTGTATATATGTCGAAATGCACGTGCTGAATTTCACTCCTAGCCATAATCCAACCTTAATCGAAGCTTGTAACTATTTGTTAATCCGATCAGGACGTATATATGTCAAAAGAGGTTAATCAATTATAAACTTAACATAAATGTAGAGAAAATACGAACTCTTACAGATCAAATTAATCAATTTCGGTGAAAAATATTGTTAATATTTTGTTATTATCATTCCTTAAGAATCATTACCTTATAGATATTTGTTGTATCCAAGTTCATGGAATCAAGTACCTCCACCGATTTGAGAAACGTAATTACATTAGTTTCATACGAACGTAATTGTTCTCTACAAATAAATGCATCGAACAATAATCAAACAAATTTAGCACACATTCACTTGACATAATAAGAATGATTACCATATCAGAAAATATAAACCGTGTTAGATGAGTAACAGTTACCCAAGAGGAGTTGGTTGACATATAGCATAAATCAATTGAAGTTAGAAGTGTGAACCAGTAGAAACCACACAGCTATTGACTGACCCTGAGAGATTTAAAGACACTACGTTCAATGCTTGTTAATGAAGAGTCCCATACTAGGACGAAATGGATAGTCAGTGTTTCCTGCTTTTCAATGGATGTTGAAATAAAATGAGTCTGAGATGCAAACAATGACAAATTAAATTGCTTAGTATTATTATTAATTGTTAAATCTGTTGAAGAATCTCATTACATGGTTGAGATACGCGCGATTTGTCTAAAAAGCTGTTTTTTTTTAATGAGTAATATACGTAAATGATCCACATAACTCAATTCATGATGTATCTGTGGCGCTTAGTGAGTCTGTAAGTTTGAAAGAAAAAAAGGTTTTCTAAAATAATAACATAATGAATTATTGTGACATACGATAATGCAAACGACAATTGCTAACTGTGTCTATTCTTGATAACAGTTTACCGACAAGCAAAGCGGCAACCAGAAGCAAATAAACATGGAAACATTTTGATCCTGTGAGCGGGATCGTGGATGTCCCACAATAGAATGAAACGACCGTCCAGTACTTCTAGGTTTTCAATGGTAGTCTAACATCAATCAGTACATCAGCTCAATCAAAAACTTAATAATCTCCACAACCCTATATTGATAAAACACGGAAACTGTTGCGTCTGAATAGAGATCAGCACTTTTCATAACACATCTCATAGATATTCAACATAAAACTTACTTCAAATTTATTCCAATTCATAATTACTCAATTTTTAACATTTAACCGTTGCTAAGCAAAGATGAATAGTGGTTATCAGGGGAATGTAGATATTAAAACGGATATAATAATGAAATGATATTTGTTCATGTATTATGTTTATAAGTTATAAACTAAATTGACACATTTATTCAGTATTTACTTATTTTTAAATAGATTTCATTTAACTAGTTTAGATATAATACCATAATCAATAATTATTCCACATTTCGGTTGGAAAATACAGTATTCAACTGGTAATTCAATCAAGTTATATATATATATCAGAAAGGGGGTTTTGTGGATAAATAATAATATAATAGTTGAATTCATGAGTCAATTAAGATTAGACTCCCATGGAATATCTAAGTATATTGGAAGGCTGTTTTGTCCTAGTATAGGACTCTTCATCAGTGTGCATTCACGAACCCCCCGCGGGATATATATATATAATGACAAAGGTTAAAGATTTCAGATTTTAACATTTAGTCATATTTAACGAAAATGAAGTTATATGATTATGTATACATATACCGTCTTCATTTTTCTTGTAAATAAATGTGCATAGTTGAGAAGTCCATACTAGGACAAAACAGCCGTTCATTGATTCAAGGTTTCCCATGGTTGTCTAGCTTTAATCGATTTATGAATTCAACTATTAAGATTACTACAATCTCCATAAAACCCACTTTTTGATAATATTTATTAATGACCAGTCGAATGACCCGGTACGGCCAAGGATGGGGAGAGTCCGCTCTCTCTCTCTCCCTCTCCAAATGCTCTCACATGGCCATGCGTATATAGCCTCTGCCAGGAAAGTCCTACTCACTGCCTTATCTCGACCAGGGTGTTGTTTACAAGGTTGAGAGGACAAAAAGCGAATGTCCGGCTCAGGGTTTAACCGGGTTGGTAGACATGGTGGATTTATCTAGGAGAGTTGGAAAACCCTCATTCCAAACCAATGGTGCACATGGGCTCCAGTATCCTGAAAAAACAAATGGTGTATGAACCAATTGTTGGTCACCGGCTACCATCGGACTACATCTCCTTACGTTGCTCCACTGCCTTGTGGATCAGAGCTTCGGGTCGAAGTCTCCGGGTATGGTCCCCTATGGAAACCACCTGTTTCGGTTTGGGCACCCGGTTAGTATCACAGCCCTCACACATATCAAATGAGATTTGTGTGGCACATATCTATTTGGTGCCTCATTGTACCAATATCTATGTGTTAAAATAAATAAATAAACCAAACTAAGACGAGTACAACCAGCTGAGAATAAAATCTTATGTATATCTGAAGGTACACATTACCTAATTAGTTGTGGGAAATATTTTTTTGTTCTTTAAATTAGATGAAGAAATAAGTCCAAGAATGATAGTTTGTCATTTGACTCCTGTTTTCTTGTGAACTTGATATCATCAAAGACGTTGTTGATCAGGATGTTGTAGGTGTTTTCCAGCTCATCCTTTTTGATAATGACGAATGTGTCGTCTACATAACGAATTCAGATTTTTGGCTTGATCATTGGTAAGATCAAGGTTTCTAGTCTCTGCATCACTGCTTCTGCGATAAATCATGATTTTGGGTGATCTCATCGGTGTCCCTTTTGTTTGTTCGTGAATTTTGTTGTTGAATTGAAAATATGTTGTTAAGCATAAATCTACGAGTTTTAGTAAACTTTGACTTTAAAGTTTCATTTACTCTGTAAGTTTACGAAGTACACGAAGAAATAAATAGATTGCTACTAGCAATGCAATCTAGAACATACGTTTCTTTCTATTTAGGAGTTATTGACTAAATATACCTATGTCCATGTTCACGTTCATTCTGGGACTCGAACCCAATACCTTTTGCTTCAAACACTAACACGTTATCTACTAAATTATTAAGTATCAATATAACTACTAGGATTCAGGTATCCTGATTTCAACTGTCAGTTACAATCTATTTATTCAAAATAACTTTAGATATAATTGACTATATAGAAGCCATCAATTCAAGATTCACTCAACAACTGAATGAATCAAACTCTAACTATATGATAAGTTATCATAATATAGATAGAAAGATGTAGTTTCATGTAACAACTTTATTGAAATTTATCAATATTTTTCAAGAGTTGAATAACCTAGGTACTATGTACTATTCTCTATAGAAAGAAATATTAAGAGATAATTATCTACTTTACTATTAGTATTATTATACTTGACCGATTGTTGGTCACCGGCTACCATTGGACTGCATCTCTGTTGTAACGGGTGGATTGCAGATTAGATGCGCAGCGTTTTATTGATCGCTTCTGTGACACGTAAACACGTAATGAACGACTTAGAGTCCCGATTGGCCCTGCTTCGCTGTCTATCCCAGCCAGTTGAGTCCAGAACGCAAGTCACAGCCTCTGAGATATGAATCATTATATTTCAGACATACTCTATTTATATACCAAACAAACAAACCACACCGTACCACAAAATAGAAAACAACATTTACACAATACCTAACAAGGGAAACAAATATCGACCAATAGGGAGTGTACATTTAAAGTCCAAGGTCACCGCTAGACTTAACATGATAAGTATTGGTATATTCCTCTGCATCCCTAACAATCTCCTCACGATGCTCCACTGCCTTGTGGATCAAACCTTCAGGTCGAAGTCTCCGGGTATGGTCCCCTATGAAAACCACCTGCTTCGGTTTGGGCACCCTGGTAGTATCACAGCCCTCACACATATCAAATGAGATTTGTGTGGCACATATCTATTTGGTGCCTCATTGTACCAATATCTATATGTTAAAATAAATAAATAATACAATCAAGTGCTTGCTCACGATATCAATACTATTTTCATAATGAAAATCATAGACAGTTCTTACTTATACAACCGTTAAAAACCAGAAAGTACTGGACAACCTAACCATTAGATAACGACGCAGAGATCTGAAAGTTTGAAAATCCTTTATGCGAAATAAAAGTTCCAGATTCTATCCCTTGTGAATGGGTTGTGGTTAAGCATTATCACTACGGTGTCTCACTCTACGATAGAACATCGATCTGGTGCTTCTGAGTTTTTGACAATTATCTAAATAAGATTAAACCATGATGCAAACTACAAAAGTTCGACAATTCCTACAAACTTCTATCCTTTAATGATCACTAACATTTTCTGTTTAATCATATTTGTTAAATAATTGAGTTTATTTAATAGAAATAAATAAAAACGACCAAATAGAACTAATATTAGTTTTAGTATTTTATTATTATTATTGCAACCATAAATTGACCTCGTTTATTTTATTTATCATGTCATTGTTTTGCATATATTCAACAAAAACGACTCCATAGTAAACATCAATAATAATAATGATACCTATTGTTATTATTACTGTTAGGGCGTTATTCACTATTTTAGCATCTTTATCATTATGGTTTATATTGTATAGTTGCACATGGTATATAAAAAAATTAGGACATTCTGTTGTTGGACGATAGATCATAGGTGTTGTTTTTTTTAAATCATTTTTTTGCATAAAAAGGCAAAAGGGAGCTAAATTTGACCACGTTAATATGAAATAGATAGTGTGGTTAGTAGTAGAGTCCATAATGTCTACTTCGTTCGATCTACTACAAGTCAGCTGGATCACTTGTTTGTCAGAGTTGGTGCCGGCTAACACGTATTATAAATCAGTCAAAATATCGACAACAACAGGATAATCCAAACGATTACAAATCCAACCAGAATTCTGACCCGTTTCAAAAGTTCATAGCTGTTTTGATTTAATGGTTAAGTGGATAACTCATTGACGTTTGAAGCACAGGTAGTCAGTTCGAAACTCAGAGCGAACATTAGTTCAGGAGCAAGCGCACCCACCTGACGAATCCCAGATAGTATCAAGCACAGGTTCCGAACTGAACTACTGGTCACTTTTAATCTGTTTCATATAAACTTGTATCATAATGGCTATATCGAGGTGACTCGTACGACATGCTTACAAATCCCTACTAAGATTGATCGGTATTCGGGCAAACAACCAA